TCTCTCTCTCTCTCTCTCTCTCTCTCTCTCTCTCTCTCTCTCTTTCTCTCCTTTCACTGAGGTTCACGATTGAAACGAATATGAATATTTCAACCGTCTGAATCTTCTGATTTCAACTCCTCTCCTTTTTCTCTATTATTTTTTCTCTAATTTATATATGACTACAACCAATTGATTATACCACAAGTGGATGAAGAGCTGTGGGGATGAGGGAGTGAAGGAGGGGGTGAAGAGGAGAAAGGAAAACTACCAAAGGGAGAGAATCAAATTGTGTCAAAAATTGCTACCCGACAGTTTGGAAATCATCATGGATTCCAAATGGACTTTCCCTCCCTCCCTTCTCTCTCACTTCATCCCAATTCAACTGAAACCTTCTTCTTCTCTTCAACTTCTTCTCCCTTTCATCCCTCCCTTCATCCATCATCCAAACTTCTCTCTCTCTCTCTCTCTCTTTCTTCTACTCCTCCTTCTCTCCACACTACCACTTTCTCTTTATACAGTTTCCTTCTCTCTTTCTCTCTCTTTCTATACACCACATCTATTATCTACTGTCTTCTCTATTAACCAATTCTTTTTCTCTGTTTCTATTGCCACATCAACAAACCACACACCAGACCCAATTTCNAACAAGCCAATTCAACTGAAACCTTCTTCTCTTCTTCTTCTTCAACTTCTTCTCCTCCCTTTCATCCCTCCCTTCATCCATCATCCAAACTTTTCTTTCTTCTACTCCTCCTTCTCTCCACACTACCACTTTCTCTTTATACAGTTTCCTTCTCTCTTTCTCTCTCTTTCTATACACCACATCTATTATCTACTGTCTTCTCTATTAACCAATTCTTTTTCTCTGTTTCTATTGCCACATCAACAAACCACACACCAGACCCAATTTCAATTTTGATTCTGCAGGCTTTCCCCGCTCCTCTTCTTTTTTGTCACCTACTCAAAGCTGAGTGGTCAAACACACACATACACACCGGGCAAATCTTTTGCTTGCGTGTAAATCTCCTCTTTTTCCTTCTCCTCCTCCTTTTCATCTCATCGCTAAGCCCCACACCACCTACACGCCCACTTCATCTGCTAGCGTTTTTTCAGATCAAACCACACTCATTTGCTTCTTTCCCCCATTTGGACTCGCTGTTTATACCTATGGTCTTTTCAATTATTTTGTCTATTTGTCTATACAAACACACACGCCCACCCACACACTACTACACAGACACTTTCTTTCCTGAACACACTTTATCGCTTTTGCCGGTTGAATTACACAGCTGCTCCAACGGAACAACAACAGAGCAAACCCAGAGTGACCTAGACCCAAACCATCACCACCACGAGTGAACAGCCGGTGTTACCGAATAATGAAAAATTACTATACTATACATATGACACACCCGACCACACCCGAGCAAAAACTACCACAAACAGACAGACAGACCCGCCATACCAAGCAACCAACACAACTGTAAAGCATCTTCCGTTTCCTCTTTTCAAACTCACACACACACACACTTTGCATTTGTCTCCATTCTTCGCATTTCAACGTCTTCTTCTTCAACTGTAGGAAATCGTTAGTCTTTCTCTCTTTGCCGCGGCTGTCGCCAATCAACCCTCTCTTTCTCTTTCTCTCTCTCTTTTCTGGTCACTCTTCTCTTCAAGACTTTGCTTCTTCTTCAACTTCAACTTCAACTTCTGCCAGCACACAAACACACACACACACACACAGTCACCTGCAGCCACACACAGTCATCATCAACAACAACATCGACAAGAACTTCAAAATAGTAGAGACGAAGTACATTGACATTGACATTGACATTGACATGCTGACACCGAACCAACTACCATTTCTATTTCTGCCCTACCTAGCCTACTACTACTACCTTGCCTGCGCTGACCAAATGATGGCCAAACACAGATGATGATGATGATCGGATGATCAGATCAGATGAGAAGCTTCCAGACAACTTTAGCTGTTGCTGATGATGATGATCGAGGATCGATTGAGGATGACGAGGAAGACGAGGACGAGGAGGAGAATGCACTCTTTGCTTAGGAAATTCTTATGATTTTTTGCCTTCAATCTCCGGTGACTCTTTGACGGTTTATAGCCGAACCAAAATGAATGTAATTTCTAGTTGGGTTGATTCGATGGCATCACCACCACCACCACCACAGTTTTCTATGTTCAGCCCAGTCACAACCACCACCTTTCCTTTTCTTTCCTGTTTCTGTCTGTTTCATACCTTCTTTCTTTCAACTCCTTTTTCTGTAAATTCTGTTCAGCTTTTTCTTTCCCTCCCTTCTTCTGATGCCACACCCAACACTGCTTCTCTCTCTCTCTCTGTTTTTGAGTGCATCTCTCTCTCCCTCGCTTTCTCTAATCTATTCTCTCGCTCTCTCTCTAATCTCGAATCATCTGATAACACCCATACACACATACCCAATTTACCCAATAAGAACTTCTGCGGAACAACTACTGTGCGGCCACCGGCAACTTTGTGTGCTTGTGCCAAGCCACTTGAATTCAATTGAAAAGGGTCAGCAAGCTGAGGGGGTGAATGTAGGGCAGAAAGATTAGAGAACGAGAAAGAGAAAGATTGCGGGAGTTTACCACCACCACTGCACTCTAATTGGACTACATTCGGTCATGGACGACTGGGCAGGAAAAGATCATCATCATCATCTTCACACTCAGCTGAAGCCTTCACCTTCAACTGCCATCACATTCAACTTCTCTAGCAGGTCTTCTTCTTCTCTTGGCTCCCAAACTTCACCTTCAAACTTCTTTGTCTTCGTCTTCTCTCCCTGGTCTGCAAACTCCTCTGTACAGTAACCTCCTCCTCCTCCTCCTCCTCTTGAACCTTCAAAGATGATCGCTAAACACAACACACTCTATTCGCCAAATGTTAGTGCAATTGCAACGCATTTCACTCACCCGTTTTCTGTTTTTTTGTAATCTACTCTCTTGCCACTTTCTTCTTCTTCTTTATACCTTCTTTCTCCTTCTTCTTCCTTTTCCTTTTCAACACTCAAACTCCACAAACTCCAACAAACACACACAAACACACACACACTGACAAAAAAAACCGTTTTCATTTTTCTTCTTCCTCTTTCCTTTGCTTTTCTAAAATTCACCAATATAAATAAAACTAAATAACTAAAGAAATAATATCAGACTTGGACTTTTTATCAACAAGCAAAATGTACTACACCACCACCACAACCATCAACACACGCCCACCACGACCAACAACTATTGTAATTAACTACCTAAATATTAAAATTATAACCAATTCAAGTTTTTTTCAATTGAGTCATTCAGTCAGTCAGTTCTTAGGAGTTCAGGAGAGAAAGAAAGAAAGACATTTCTGCCCTCAAATTGTGCACTTGTCTATGTCAATGACCACCACCACTTCTTTCTTTATCTTCGTCTCTTCTGCCTGGTTGACCGGCGAAGTGTGTCGTCCAGAGAGGGCACAACATTATCGTCGGCTTCAGCGGTGATTGTCGTCATTTTCCCTGCCTGCCATCTTTCTTGCTTGACTGTCTTCCTAACGTAAACAACGGCCACCACTTTTGGTGTAGCCCAAAAATAGTAGCGGGGATTCAGTCAGTCAGACAGTCAGTCAGTGCTAATCACCCCCTCCGAGAGACAGTGGGCAAAGTGCACCCATTTTCTCCGCTTTTCTCCTCTCTCCTCTCGCACTATTTTCCAGACGAGCTCAAACACTGTGCTGAAGACGAAGAGGAAAGAGGGAGGCACACACCCATGGAGACCGCCTAATGTGATTTGCAGATGAGTGCACAGACAGTTTCCTTCCCTTCCCTTTACCATCTGTGCCGACAATCGTCTTCTTCTTCTCAAATTCGCTGTCAGCAAAATCACGTAGCCGCCGTCTTCGCCGCCGTTTTCGCCGCCGCCGAGCTGAGCAGTCTCCGAACAGGGCAGTCCACTTTGCGCAGAAGCCACTGCATCGCTGCATCAACACCGAACACTTCAGTTTGTCGCCGTTTTCCTTAGATTGTGGTGTGAATCAGTTGTGATGTTTTCTTGAAGAAGAGGAAGATGATGATGAAGATGATGCCCCAAAGAGCAGCTATTCTGATTGGCAGTGTCCTATTTCTGCTGTCAGCCAGTCAGTCGGTCGCTGAGGAGAAGGGTAAGGCTGCTTTGTTTTGTTTGTTTTGATTTAAAATTCTGGATTCTGTATTCTATTAGCAGCAGCCACTGATAAGCTGGTGGTGGTCACCGTGGCCACGCACATCACCGATGGCTTTCAGCGTTTCAACCGATCCGTCCACCTCTACGGACTGAAGCTCGAGGTAAGAGTTGGTTTGTTTTGTTTTGTTTTGGCTGTTCTATTTGTCAACAGAATGCTCACCACTTTCTCTTTCTCTCCTTTTAAACTCAGGTCCTAGGCCTGCACCAGGAGTGGAAGGGCGGCGACATCGCCCGCCTGCCGGGCGGTGGCCAGAAGATTCGCCTCCTGAAGAAGTACCTCAAAAGTGTCAGCACCCAATCCGACCTGGTGGTCCTCTTCACCGACAGCTACGATGTGATCATGAGCGCCCCCGGTGGCCCTGAGGAGATCCTGGCCCGGTTTCGAGCCTTTGAGCCCGCCCGGGTGGTCTTCTCCTCGGAGAAGTACTGCTGGCCAGACCCGAAGTTGGCGGTAGGTGTTTTCAGTGTTTCTAGAATGTTCTACTAAAATGTTCTAAAACTCTTCCTCTTTTTCAGAGCGAGTATCCCAAGTCGGATGGAAAGCGGTACCTCAACTCAGGAGGTAAGAAACTCGTTTTAATTCTGTATTCTCAACTAATTCTCAATCAACTCATTCCCCAGCATTCATCGGCTACGCCCCCGACCTCTACGCCATCGTCTCTGAGCGCCCGGTGGAGGACACCGACGACGACCAGCTCTACTACACCAAGGTCTACCTGAACGCCGACCTCCGCTCCAAGCACTCCATCCGCCTGGACCTCCTTTCGGAGCTGTTCCAAAATCTGAACGGCGCCATCGACGACGTGGAGATTCGCTTCTCGCAGGGCCCGAAGATTGACGAGTCCACGGCGGACGCCTTCCTCTTCAACCGCGCCACCAACAGCCAGCCGCTGGTCGTGCACGGCAACGGCAACAGCAAAGTGCCGCTGAACTCGCTGGGCAATTACCTCGCCAAGTCTTGGCACCCCGCCACGGGTTGTCTCACCTGTGAACAGGATGAAAAGGACATCGAACACAAAAAGTCCTCTCAAAACCTCGTCGAGGGTGAAGAGGAGGTGGTGGAGATTGCCAGCAGCTACCCGCACGTTCTGATCGCCGTCAACGTCCTCAAGCCGACGCCCTTCTTTGCGGAGTTCCTCGAGGATATTACGCTGCTCGACTATCCCAAGGGCCGCATCACCCTCTTCATTCAGTCGCTGGTGGAGTTGCACTCCGCCGAGGTGGAGCAGTTCATCGACGACTACAAGTCCTACTACCGCTCCATCCGCTACATTACCAATGAGAAGGAGGTGGAGTGGCAGCTAAGGAATCGGTACCTGTGAGTACTTGGAAGATTTTTTGTGGAGTTCTATTTCCCTTACTCATCATTTTCCCTTTTTCTCTCTTCCTTTTCCACTCTAGAGACGAGGTCGTCCGCGTCGGCGCCGACTATTTATTCGTCTGGGACAGCGAGGCGCGCATCACCAATGCGCGGACGCTGCAGATACTGATGCAGTACAATCGGTAATGAAAATTCACAGTTATTATGATTGTCTAAGTAACTGATTGGGTAACTGATTGTCTTCTTTTTGAATGGCAGAACCGTCGTCGCCCCCCTGCTCACCCGTCCCAATGAACTGTGGTCGAACTTCTGGGGCGCACTGACGCACGATGGCTTCTACGCGCGCTCCACTGACTACATTCAAATTGTGAAGAATGAACGAAGGTAAGTCCTTGAGGTTTCTAGAAGTCGGCTTTAAAGTTCTTCCGGTCGATGGCGAACTTGTTGTTTGCCTATTTTAGGAAAATGTGTTAGAAAGGGATTTCATAAAAAGTGACAGCCTAGCTCGTCGTACCATGCACTCGTAGGTGCCCGAGTCCATCTGCCGGGCGGGGTCAATCTCCATCTTGCTCTTGATCTTCATGTCCTTACCCTCGCCCATCTTCCACTCGTTGATCTGCAGAGAAAAAGAGTTTTTAAGCCATTTTCACTCTTTGATTTGCGCAAACTTACATGCAAGTTGAGGTTGTACCGAATGTCCAGCTCGATGCCGTCCTTGAACCAGGTTATCCTGCAAAATGTGGAAAAGGAATGTTTTGATTTGTTTGGAAATGTTTTCAGTCCTTTCTCCACCAGCACTACTTACGTCGGCAGCGGATCGCCGATGGCCACGCAGATGAACAGTATCTTGTGGCCGAGGTAGAACTCGTAGTCGAAGAAGGAGGAACGGATGATTTGCGCTCCCTGGAGAGAAATGAAATTAATTGAGATCACTTATTGTTACTAAACTCATCTTCCCACTCACATTGACATTGTTGTAGTACTCTGCCCGCTTGGGATTGGTGTTGAAGACCACCTTGGCGTTCTGTTTGCCCATCTTCCGCCGGCGACTGCCCTTGCCGCGACGAGCGGAGACTTCTTCGGGCAACAACAGCAAATTCGCCACCAGAAATATTGTGACAAGGGTGAACAGCAGCGTGGTCTTCATCTTCTGGTTCTGATCCCACTGATTCCTGATTCTTGATTTTTCAGTGCATATTTTGTCTGCTGAGAGGATGAGTTCTTGAGGAGTTGATTTGATTTTTTCTTTTTTTTGTCACCTAAGTGTGCACTCTGTTCTGCTATGTTTTACTGCATTTGTGCTAAATAGCTAAATAGCGCCAGGGGATGGGAATGGTGGTCTGCTCTATATAAAAGTGCCCATCATCAGTGAAGTGAGGGGCACTCTAGCACATTTCCATTTAGTAGTAGTAGTCTGCCTTCTCATATTTAGTGTCTTCTCCTGATGTAAGAGTCGTCGCTTGACCATGCGTCTTTGCGCATCACCTCTCTCTCCTCTTTCTTTCCCTTTTTTACTGTGTACCTAATAGAGCGTAAACGGCGTTCAAAAGAGTGCCGCCAAAAGCTCAACTTACTAATTTCTAACTTTTTCCTATCTTACAGAGGCCTCTGGAACGTCCCTCACATCTCCAGCGCCTACCTGGTGAACGCCTCGCTCTTTGACGAAAATTCAGTCAACCGAGCATACAACTTTCGCCCCCTCTCCTACCACGACCCGAATGCGCCTGAAAAGCCAAAAAATACTGACAAAGAATCAGCACCCGAGGTTGACCCGGACATGCACTTCTGCCGACTGCTACGGGAAAACGGCGTCTTCATGTACGTCAGCAATCTGCCGGACAATTTCGGCCACCTCGCCCGCCTGGAGACGTACGATCTGTCACGGCGCCACCCTGACTTCTATGAGATCTACTCGAATGAGATTGACTGGCGACGGCGGTACATTCACCCGAACTACTCCGCCGCCCTCCTCAATGAGAGCATCATCGAGCAGCCCTGTCCGGATGTCTATTGGTTCCCGGTAGGGTCGCCGGCCTTCTGTCAGCACCTCATTGGTAAGTAGAGAGGGTATCAATTCGAAAAAAAAGGAAAACAAATATTTGTCCGGATATCAGGGATCACTATTTAGAGGCAAAACTGACTTCTGTTTTTCACTTCCCAGAAATCATGGAGCACTTTGGGCAGTGGTCGGGCGGCAAAAACTACGTGAGTGCTCCTGCTGTGGGAAAATGTGTTTTCTGAGAAAAACATGGAAATAATTTTGTTTTTCTCCATTTGCAGGATCCTCGGCTGGAGGGCGGCTACGAGAACGTGCCCACGCGTGACATTCACATGAATCAGGTGGGCCTCGACCAGCAGTGGCTCTACTTCCTCCGGCAGTACATTCGACCGATGCAGGAGAAGCTCTTTACCGGCTATGTTCATGATGTAAGACATTGATCCTTCTTTCTCTGTTCAATTTCTAATCAATCTGTATCACTTCACTCATAGCCACCCCGAGCCACCATGAACTTCGTCGTGCGCTATCACCCGAACGAGCAGGCAAACCTCCGCCCCCACCACGACTCCTCTACCTACACCATAAACATTGCCCTGAACCGACCCAAAATCGACTACCAGGGCGGTGGGTGTCGCTTCCTCCGCTACAACTGCTCGCTGACCAACCTGAGGCTGGGCTGGTCGCTCATTCACCCGGGCCGGCTGACGCACTACCACGAGGGCCTGACGGTCACCAGCGGCGTCCGCTACATCATGGTCTCATTTGTGGACCCGTAGGGAAATACCCAAACCAAACTGAACAGACCACCAATCCTCTAGTCTGAGATGCCTAAGATGACCACTCAATTCTCCCTCATACTCAAATCTCTCATACTCAAACACATTATATTTGCACTTGATGACGGGGATGGCAATGATGATGACGATGATGATGACTGTCGGTGATTGATTTCGCCTGCTGTCGATGTTTTGCTGTCTTTCTGTGCACAGCACCTAATCCTTCATGTGATCTAGGATGCACTTGTTCACTCTAACGGCGCCCGGCGAGATAGCTTCCAACACAGTGCTGTGTACAGCAGCAAATGTGAAGTAAAGCAGAGCAGTGTGTTGGAATACCAGACATTGGGTATATAGCAGGCAGTGTAGCAGGATTCCCAATGCACAGTCAGTCAGCGGCCTTGCCTTCTCTCTCTCCTCATACCATTTGCCTTCTGCCGTCTGGGCACACTACATGCAGGCAGGCAATTACTGCTGCTTCACTTTTCCCAGGATTCGTATTTCTTGCTGCTGCTGTTGGTTCTGGCGTTGGTGGTTCTGCTGGTGCCTCTTTCGGTGAGAGCACTCGTGTTTTGTTGTCACTTGCCATTCCTTTCCTCTCTTCCTTTGCTTTTCTCTCTTTCCTCTCTTTCCACGTCCATCTCTATCTCATCTTGTATTCAGTGAACGGCTACGACGGCTACGACGGGAGCAGACGCCCTGTCAGTGCGNGCTGCTTCACTTTTCCCAGGATTCGTATTTCTCGCTGCTGCTGCTGCTGGTTCTGGCGTTGGTGGTTCTGGTGGTGCCTCTTTGCTCTGAGAGAGCACTCGTGTTTTGTTGTCACTTGCCTTCCTTTCCTTTCTTCTCTTCTCTTCCTTTGCTTTCCTCTCTTTCCACGTCCATCTCTATCTCATCTCGTATTCAGTGAACGGCTACGACGGCTACGACGGGAGCAGACGCCCTGTCAGTGCGCATGCATTGCATTCCCCCCTCCTCCTCACCACCTTAAAATGATGATGATGTTCATCAGAAGTGTGCTGATGCTGACGCTGACGCTTCTGTACGACATCACCACAGAGCAGTGAAATGTGTGCTGCCGTCGTACAGTAGTGGAGGAAGAAGAAGAAGAAGACGGTGACAAAACAGCAGCAGCAGCAGCAGCGGCACTGACAGATGAGATTTGCCCAGAAGCTATTTTCCGTGCAGTGACGGAGGAACAGCGGAGGAATAGACGTCGATGCTGATGCCGATGCCGTCATTCGCAGCCACTGATGAAAACTGATAAACTGATTTCGAACAACTGCTGATCAACTTCAAATGAAGACAATTTCAGCCGTACCGGCTGAACACACTTCAGAGATTTTCTGGTAAGCCTGGAAATTCTCTGGTGTCATACAAGTCGCCCACCTAACTTCTCTGTGGCGCCCACTCAAGTAGCGGTGGCTCACTTTGACCAGCTCGACTTTGTTTGTATTTCACCAGTTTTCACTTGCACGACTTCTTCTTCTTCTTCTTCTTCCCTGTTTTCACCTGAAAAGAGGGGGCGAGGAATCTCTTCCCCACTGAACACTGCGTAATTAACTCTCTGCTGGCACTGGCAGTTGCTCGTCTCTCGTTGACATTGAACTCTCTTTTACGACTGTTTGTTTTGCTGCGGCTGTACACAGACATACTCTTCTCATCTCCTTCTCACTTCCTCTGCTCTTGTACGACGAGGATACCCTTTCGCTGACTGTCTGACAGGCAAACTGTACACTAGCTAGCTGCCAATCGACTCCAGCATGCCGCATACCGTTCTCGTACTTTTGGCAAAAACGAGGTACTTGGAAGCCGTTGTCGCCGCCGTCGCCGCTGCTATCACCACCGACAGAAGGATACCAGCGCCAGCAGTGACAGCAGTGTGCTGATAAACTAAACGTGACTAAAAGAAGAAGAGTGGTGGTGGTGGTCCTTTTGTTGGTTGTTGTGTTATTATTTGATTGAGCTGCACTTTAACGCTTCAACTTCTCCAAACACACCAACACACCAAAATCGTCACCGTCGTTTCCGCTTCACACATTCTGCTGTTGTTGCTGTGTTTGTTGGCAGATAATGAACACACTTCAGCTGAAACCGGTAAGTGAGGAGCGGTGAGGTGCGGTGCACCCCTCAGTTTCTACTTTGCCTTCATTTTCATTTCGTTTGTTGAGTGTTGAACTAACTGCTAAATATCATAATGTTCCTCTCCGCTAAATCGCCGCAGATGGCCGGCTACCGACGTGAAGAGCTTCTCGATGGTGATGATGACGATGAGACGATCAACGGAAACAACAACAGCAGCAGCGGGGCCGGTCACCACCTCGTCTTCTCCTCCAATCTGACCAGCATCGGCAATCCGCACTTCAGCAGCAGTCGAACGCTGATGCTCGACGATGCTCAGCCGACGGCCACCGAGGAGCTGCTTACCTCCTCCTCCTCCCCAGGTGGAAATCAAAACTCGACGACCACGGCAGCCGTTCTCAAGGACCTGGGACTTCTAGGTGGGCAGCAGTCTCCTCAGCGAACTTCCAATCAACAGCAGCAGCAGCATCAGTCCAATTTTCGGCAGTCTGCTTCGCCTACTTCCGCGGGAGGACATCCAATGGAGAATTTCTCCATCTCCTTCATCTCCAACGGGGCGTATCACCAGCAGCGGAAGCGCTTCTTCTGGGACCGGTTGACCCACTTTGAGCGCCTCCTCTCGCTGGTCATCTTCCTCCTCGGCCTGGTGATCATCACGCTGGCGGTGACGCTGCTCGTCCAGCCGACGCCGGTCCTCCAGGTGCACCTCAACAAGGATGGGCTTCATCCTCAGCGTAAGTTGATGAGATGATGACATCGAAGGTGATGATAACCTTCTTCTTCTTCTTCTTCTATATTCAGCCCAGCCCTGCCTTACGCCGAAATGCATCTCCATCGCCAGTTCGATCATCGAGTCGCTCGATCCGTCCGTCGATCCGTGCGTCAACTTCTACGAGTATTCCTGCGGAGGGTGGATCAAGCGGAATCCGCTCCCCGACGGGCACGCCTCCTGGGGCACCTTTGGCAAGCTGACGCAGGACAATCAGCTGGTGCTGAAGAATGTTCTCGGTAGGTGTTTACCACCTCCACCACCACCACCACCAGCAGTTTTCAATGGCAGGCCTGTCAGACTGGCAAGAAATGCCTAAATTATCAGGGGCTGCTCGCAGAGTACGATACGCGGATTTAGCGCCACCAGTTGCACTTGGCGACTTTTGGAACTACAACTTCTCCACCAGTGCCGATAGATGGCGCCTCGGACATTTAAAAAACAAAAGTGGATGACGCCGCAGTCGCCATCTAACGGCATTTGGAAAGAAGCTGTAGTTCACAAAGTCGCCAAGTGCAACGTTGTACTCTTCGAGCAGCTCCTGATCATACCTGTATTCTGGCCAGTCTGAGAGGCCTACATGTGAAAAGGAGTGCAAATTCCTCCTTTACTAATTTCCCACCACTCTTTCACCACCTTACCTCAGATGACAGCAAGCGAAAGTTCAGCGGCGCCGAGCTGAAGGCGAAGATCTACTACGAGTCCTGTCTGGACCGGAACAACACGCTGGAGAAGTTGAAGGAGAAGCCGCTGCAGGACTTTATCGATCTGGTCAGTGACTGTCAGAGACTAAGGCTGAGTGGATTGAATGGAGCAAATAGCACTAAAGTACTAACTTATCTTCTTCTCCTTCATCAGATCGGCGGCTGGAACATCTCCGGCGGCTTCGACGTCCGTGCCTGGAACCTGCAGAGCAAGCTGACGGTGATGCACAACCGCTACAACCGCGGCGGCCTCTTCGAGTGGTCGGTGGCGCAAGATGAGAAGAACAGCAGCCGAATGGTCCTCGACCTGCAGCAGGGCGGCTTCGTCATGCCCCGAGATTACTACATGAACAAGACCGATGACGATCCGATCATGGTCGCCTACCTCGAGTTTATGGTCAAGATTGGCGTCCTCCTCGGCGGGGAGGAGGCGAGCACCAGGGCGCAGATGAAGGACGTCCTCAGGCTGGAGCGGGCGATGGCCAAGGTAAACAAACAAAAAGGATTTGAAAAGTGTTTTGATTCGTATTTACACCTCTCGATTTCTATCTTTCTCCTTCTCTTTAGATTCTGATTCCACCCGAACAGATGCGCGACGACCAGAAGACCTACCACAAGATGACCCTCGCGGAGCTGACCGCCCTCAGTCCCTTCCTCAACTGGGCGGCCTACTTTCGCGAGGCCTTCCTCCCCGTCGGGCGGAACATCACCGACGCCGAGCCCATTATCGTCTACTCGCCCGAGTACATGGGCAACCTCTCTGCGCTGATCACCGACTACCTCCGCACGGACTACAACAAAACGTNTCCCTTCCTCAACTGGGCGGCCTACTTTCGCGAGGCCTTCCTCCCCGTCGGGCGGAACATCACCGACGCCGAGCCCATAATCGTCTACTCGCCCGAGTACATGGGCAACCTCTCCGCGCTGATCACCGACTACCTCCGCACGGACTACAACAAAACGTGCGTGTTTTGAGTTCTAAATGGCTTTGTTTACCTTTTTCCTCCTCTTTCTTTCTCTCAGCGTCCTCGTCAACAGCATCGTCTGGTCGGTGGTCCAACCACTGGTCAGCTACCTCTCGAAGCCCTTTCGCGAGGCGGCGAAGACCTTCAGCCAGGTGCTGGTCGGCGGCGAGGGAACGACCAGCAAGTGGCGGTACTGCATCGGCGACACGGGCAGCGTCATGGGCTTCGCCCTCGGCTCCATGTTCGTGCGGGCCTCCTTTCGAGGCGAGTCGAAAAGTGAGAGCGAGGTGATGATCGCCCAGATCAAGGCCGCCTTCAGGGAGCACCTCTCTCGGCTGGACTGGATGGACCCGCACACGCTGGTCCTGGCTGTAAGTTATTTTTTGATTTAATATAATCTGTTCAAAAACACTCACTTTATTGTGGGATCTAGATGGAGAAGGCGGATGCCATCACCGACATGATCGGCTTTCCCGACTT